AGATACATAATATTCTATTTCGAGAAAGATAAAACACTTTGTCTTAAAGCAAACACGCAAACAATTAAAAACGTATGTATTTTTAATGACAATAATATGGCAACATGCTTTGTTTTTAAATATTGATATTTTTTTTGATTACAACAATTTCTCTTTAGTAAAAAAATATTTATTAATTCTAAATGTACAAGTATCAAAAGCTTAAAAAGGACAAAATAAGTCACGAATATTTTTATTTTTGTAAATAAAGTGCGTCAGAGTGGCCTCATATTCATAAAACATGAATAATATGGCTTAGGATGCGGGTAAAATACTTATTTCATCACAAATATTACCTACTTTACATTACCCTTGATAATTATTATCAACGTTATAAAACATTCACTTACTAGTTGTTTTGTTCCTTTACGTTCAAGCATTTTGCTTTATAGAGAGAACATAAGACTGTTCTTTTTGCCATTCACCATCAATACCTAAGTAACCCCACACACCTCATGGGCCAACCTTGTCTAAGTCATCTGTGACACATACAAAGAATACCACAAAAAATACTGTTTATGTTTATTCCTAGCGGACTCGAACCCGCGATCTCCGGCGTAGAGACAGATACCACCACCACATACGACTGTTTATTACCGATATGTATTTTGATTTATTAGTTAACGAAACTAAACTAACTTTAGAAACTTCTTTAGAATCGTTGTGATTTGATACTCGATGAAAGGAAAATGCGACACTTAAAAAGAGACAAACACATAAATATTTAAAGGAAAGCAGGGGAGAGAATGAGAATAGAATATATTGCCATGCTACCATGGTAACCGTTGTTATAGTCTGACAAATATATAATATTAAGTTTCACTTCTACCATGTGTGAATTGCACACACACGAACTTTTTTTTACAAAAAAAGGTACATCTATACTACTTTAAATAATATTATTATAAGGTTGGCTTTTTTGTAAACGAGTCCACCCACCACCTCTCAGAGAAAAACACCTCATTAAAAAAGAATTAAGAATTGTAAGCTAAATATTGCGTAACATGCCATTAGAAAAAATATACAGTCGAATTGAGTACTTCGTAGGTTTTGAAGTGAGAGAAAATAAATACATATTATGTATGTATATAATATGTACTAAATTTTGGCAGCGGCTTCGCTCGCATAATGAGCGGAGCCGAGTTCAAAGGAAGCCAATGTCCGATCCCAGAATACAATCTATGTCATTGGCAAGTTTTATCGAAATCTGTTCAGCTGTTCAAGCGTGAAAAGATAATAGGACAGTTATTTTCAAATTTATAATATATATTAGCATGGTTATGAATATGTATTGTACCAATATACAGTATGTACTTCACACAATGAGTTTTGGACGACAATATTCAACGCCGAGCTTTGTCTTAAGAACTTAAACAGACTACGTCAAACGTCCAGTCCATCTTCGTATAAGAAATATTGTTTAATTTCAATAAAATACAAAAAAATATTAATTGTTATTAATAAATTATTAAACATAATAATTTTACGTTAATTTAATTACTTAATAATAATTATTATCACTCGTTTAAATTAAAAAAAATATTTCAGTTTCACTGAATTTATAACAACAATAAATATAATTAATCAAAAATGAACGACGCAAACGATCGTTTGGCTTTATACCCAACATACGTCTTATTTAACTATGGTAAACAGTATGTATGTAAATAATACATTTAATAGTTGAAATAAATATTTATATGTATAAACATATTATTATTCAAAAATTGGAACATATTACGAACACAAAAAATGTGTACAATAAGTATAAAATACAAAAACAAGTCTATCCCACGGGAACCGTACATTTTTCCAGGATAAAAAGTAAGCTATGTGCTATTCAAGACTATATAATCAATCTCTGTGCCAAATTTCATCCAGATCCGTTCAGCCGTTCTGGCGTGTAAGAGTAATTAATAAATATCCATCCATCCTCACAAATTTTCACATTTATAATATTAGTATGGATTAATAAAAAAACAAAAAAAAACGTGTGTCAATTTAAACATAGAATTCTTACGTGATGGTGATAATGAGGCCTTTTATGGCATTGCATTGCACATACATAAATATGCACATTATATGAACTTCAAGTACATACGCATATATTTTTTTCCATTTGGTGTTAAAAAAATATTATATTTATTGTGGCTTACGCACGAACACAATGTCTATAGGAGTCGAAAGATAACATTCTAGTTTGATACTTGTGTGGCAAGTGGCTGTGGCTATGCGCACCGCCGCACGTCGCAAGCTGAGCGGTGACTCAGACCGTACAATGATTAAATAATATTTCAAATTTAAAATTATCACTTTACCATAATATATTTTTCATATATATAATTAATTATTATACATGTTGTATATATTACATATTTTCGAACAATTACTGCTATGTAAGCTGTTTTTTCAATAAACTAGTTCATGCAAAATTTTACTTAGGTTCTTATTTGATAATAATAAATGTATTTTTATTTTTTTTCTAAAAAGTATTTTTGGTAGGATTCTAGTACAACGATTATTTAATAAGGAGTGCCAAAATATTATTTTTATGCCAACATTTTGATAAGATAAAGAAAATCTTGAACCAAATCCGAGACGATGTCGAGACGTAAAAAAATAATATTTCTAAAAATCCTAGAAACAAGAAAAATATTATGTGCATATTTTTTTTTATTCAGTGAATAACATAAATATGAAGGTCTTTATATAAATAAATATTATTATTTATTTAATTGGGTAGGTACCTAAGTACATATAATATTTAATACTTTATCAATATTTATTTATTGCATTTATAAAATTTTAGTGTAATGAGGGAAAACACAAACAGCTAGAAATATCAGTAAAATTAAAGAGGTTTTATTGCTTAATTTATAATCTATTACGTTTATGAGCAAAACGATTAAAATTATTGGTTATGCATGTACACGTATATGTTACCTACGCCCTCTATTATATTATTTAAATTACATTAACTACTGGCAGCATTGTATGTGGCATTCGAAATACTCATATTAAAAAAATAACTTGTCATAATACGCGCGGAATTAGCAAAGTGAGCGACTTGCGGCCATTTTGTTGAACATAATATAACATAAAGCGTACCTACATATGCTTGCAGCATTTATTAATATTTTCTATAAGAATGACGCACCACAACTTGTATCTAATAAAATTGTTTTCAAATTTATTGATCATAAAAATAAAAGAGGAGAGATTCACGAAACATACATTGAACTTAAAGCTTGCATGAAAATAAAAGGTACCTAAATACAATTTTCTATCGATAAGTAATTAATAATATAGTCCAGTACAAAAACTAAACGATTATTATCAATTTCAACGGCACTCATACAGCTTTGTTATAAACAAGACGAACGGGTCCGCGAATATTAATATTTAGTGCGACAATTAATGTACAACATTCAACGATGGTTTTGTATTAAAATGGCTGTTTGGAATAAGTTTTGGCGCAGCAATGAACAGCTATTGTTTAGCAAGTGTATGAAAGTGTACGGACGGTATGGGCCGGCCCCTCGCGTCGATTGAGTCACGATCGCCGCACCGTACCCGCCACTGCATTCTTCGGCGATAATTCAAATGGCGGCATTTTCATTATTAATAAAATCCACTGCTGAATTCGTCTAAACATCTTGAAACTTAGGAGTTTGAACGAGCAATGTATTTGCTAATAATTGTTTGAGCATAATATTACTCCGTGTGACGGTTGACGCGACACGTAGCTCTACACTTGGTTGAGTTTTTGTCAGAGCGCAGATTATTGATATGAAAAGTATTTGTAGTGATGAAGCAATGTTTTTCTCGGGAAAACCTCTAAATAGTTTTAGATAATTAATTTATTACTACTTTTTAATAAACCTTGCGACAATAACTTAATAAATGTCGCAGCGATATCTCTTTATTTAGTTAGCTATAGTTAAGTTTGTCGTAGAAATAATATTTAGAAATATACATGTAAGAATATGAAATGGTTAAGAAATAATTTATTTTCAAACTTACGTAATTTTAAGTACAAATGACGATGATGTTGCGCAATGTGCGATAGCAATACACTAAAACAGAATTTAATATCTGCCTTGGTATAATAAATTAATTACTGTCTTATTGCAATACATTAAATACAATATACGTAGCCATGTATTAAATGAACGCGGTCCTCGCCCGCAAATAGATTTAATTTTTTTTCTGTCCTTGAACAAAGATCTACTCTTTAATCTGTTCCGTTAATAATTATTTGAAACAAAAATAACACAATGTTATTTTTGATAAACAAAAGTGCTAAATTATTGTCGAAAATATTCTTGAATATCAGTAAAAAATATATATTATGTTACTTTGCATATTAATTATTAATAGCTAAAATATTTTCCATTGAAGGCTGTATAGTGTATGCGTAGGCCTGTCGTGTACAATAATATAATTAATTTAAAAAAAGTAATAGAACAAATTAAGTTGTTATATAAAGTAAGGTACCTAGCAACTTAAATATCATCTGCATACATAGCTGACGTCAATGCAGATAGTGTACTTGAAAATAAATAAGTAGAATAACTTGATAGTAAAAGCATCAAATATAGAGTCAAATTACATTAGCACTGCAAGATGACGCCCTGTTGTAAGGCAAGGATAAATACACACAATAGCGAGCGTGTGTTATAATATAATGTAGAGTTGTTATTGTCAGATTAATGGCTACCAACGCCATTGCTATGGTATAATAACCAATTTAATTAGATATTCATAAACGTCCGCAATTAAATAATTTCTATAATAATTATTAATTAAAAAAAATTAAAACATTGCGGTCATCTTTAACAGTCAAAGATAAATTTCCGCACGAGTGCGCCGTCTTCCGGATAGAGTGGCCAAAGTGAATTAAATATAAAATGGCGGTGATAAATATAATAAATATTAGATAAAACGCAAAATATATTTTACTGAATACAAACTGAAGTACGTAAGTTGGCGCAAACGTTATTTCGAACCGGGTACATTTCGAAAGCATCCGACCGAACAAAGAGCACGCAAGTCGAACGCGACAATTGCAACCCGACCGGTTGATAGAGCGCGGTAACGCCGCACGCGCTCGCCTGCGACATGACCTCCCCTAGCTGGCCAGGTAACCTACCGGCCGCGAACTTCTCCGTCAGCCCGAGCGCCTGCCACCCCGGCACGACACTCTCGCACACCTCTTCCCAACTCCTTATCTTCTCTGCGCGGTCGCCGTAGTTTATGTGGTTGGTATCGTACAGGCACGGCCGCTTCTGAACCTCGGACACGATCGAGCTACTCTTTATGCCGTCCCCGTCCTTATTTCGGACCATAGTTTCTATTGTTTTTGAAAAAAGTTTACGAATTTTTGAATAATTTCGTTGCGATTGCGTGTTTAGACTTTAGCCGCAAGCGCGGTACGCCGTACGCGTCCGGTTGCCCGCGTGAAACTGGCGGCCGGCGGGTCGAGCGGTGCGGCAACATGGCGGCCGTCGCAGGGAAACGTATAGGTGTTAGCTCGTTGCGATATCTTCCTTGCTTGCGCTAATAAATAAATAAGATGCATGCATGTATTCAATTTACAGTCAGACTCCCCTTTTGTATTAAACATATATTCTATATTGTCCCAACAATACGCTAAAATTGTAAAATTAAATTTTTACTTGTCGCGTGTAATTAAAATTGAAGCTAGAACAAAGTCTGCGTGCTATAATATTACGTCTGTCTGGGAACTTATTGCATTTGCGTCGCGAAACTTGAATAAAAACCGATGGAAGACAGGAACTGCCGCAGACATTAGAGACTCTATATTATAATATATTATAAATTAATTTTTCTGTTCATTTCTCGGTAGTTTGCGAGTTATTCGGTGTGATTACTTTGGTCTTACGCAATGATACAATCACAATGGATGTAATCTAAACTGATAGCGGAGCGGTCGACACTTGGACGGTAATTTAACAAAATAAATATAAACATATCAGGTGGCGTTACAAGTCAACTTTCATTTAATTTTAGCGCTCTAGAAAATCTAGACTGTGAGATTCGAGTTTGCGCACTCGAATAATGAATTTATATGTATAAGGTATGTTTAAAAAAAGTTAATTATATTGAAATGAATAAGCATGAAACGTTGTGCTCAGTTCATTGTGCCTCACGTAACTGTATTTCTATAAAAGACATTATTATCTAAATTACACGGATAACATATTTTGACATTGTTCATACAAACTTTGTTTTAAATTGAATCTTAAGATCGTATACTTGGAATATTCCTTTATCTATAGTACTATAACAGTTTACGTCGTTGTTTGGAAAGTTATTTTAGCGATCCCGAATAATTAGCCTAATAATCATTATAGTAATGAGCAATACGTAGAAAATAACTAGGAACACTTCAGAAGTCCATAACAATTATAGGTACGTTTATAAATATTATTTTTAAATACTGTTCGTACACATAACCTACAATGTAAATATTACAATGTAATTAGTTATTACTACAAAAATATTTTTTTTAATTAAGTTTACAAAAGATCAATAACGTAAATATTTGCCACAGGCGAGTGTCGAACTCGTGACCTCTGACGCAAAACCAGTTGTGACTGCGCCAAATAGTCATTAAATCGATTCCCTTTAGATTGCTTTCTTTGCAATAACCTTTTGACTTAGATGCTAGAATGTAGATAATAAGAAATTTCTTAAAGCAGGTCCAGTCTATGTTATAATGCGTTCGTTAAGACGGGATCGACTAAAGATCGTAAGGTTTCAATCGAGTTCCATTAGAAAGGGTTGCTTCGGTTACAAGGTAGGGTACCTTACGTTAAAAACCTGTTTAATTGTTTATGTTCATAAACCACTGAGCCTATTTTGATTTTAATTTGCACAACTGTCCATATTAAAAAAAAACAGGTGCATGTAGTGTCAAAATATGATAAATATAAAAAAAATATTTGTAATAATTTCTGTAATGCACAATTTAAGTTATTTTTTTTTCTAATTGACTTTTTAAATTATAGTGATAAAATTGAATAGCGTCAATTATTTATAGTAATAGTGGACATTCGCTAGCAATAAGTTTCATAGATTGATTTTTTCTTTCATTAGATTTTTTTTTTCATTTCAGCTCATGGTTTTTTTTTCTATGTAGGTATATTAACGGTCTACGGTAACGGGGTCTAATGTCTATACTGTGGGTTTTAAAAGGCCGTCGTGTATAATACTAATGGTAAGGGCGGTTAAAAAAAACGAATATATCAGTCTCTCCGTATTTACGAAATATGTATACAAATGTATAATAACTAGAGCACACTTTACTATTATTGTTTACTTTATGATAAATATAACTATAGTCTGATTTTTAATTCCACGGAATTCTGACATTTCAGAATTGTTGTCAACTTTGAAACATTGTCACTAAAAACGGAAAGCATTTTAGCAAAATAAAAAAATAATCCTTTCTTGAAGTTAAGGTTTCAATTAGAAAAACTAAGACTTAAAAAATTATTGATAACTCTAAAATGGTATTTTTTTTTATTATCATATTATGAAGTTACAATAATTATTAAGGAAATTATTTTTCTATTACAGGAATCCCTGTCCAATAATCCATAGGTTGCAAGCCTTGTTTAGTAAAACCCCTTTGTTTGTAAAATATTTTGTTTTACTCTGTTTTATTCATTTAACCATTAAAAATTTACATTATAGTTAGCGTGCATTGATTGCACGAAATAAAGACTATTTACAATGTCATACATATAGTTTACTTGATCTAATTCTGTTTCATATTTTTTGTAATTTTATATTAAAAAAATACAAAGCAGAAAAGGTTTATGATATCTGAATTGTCAAAGCAATAATGATATCTGTCATATTTCCGTGGAATTAAAAATCAGACTATAAATGCCAAGTAAAAGTTTTTTTATATAATTGAATTAAATACTTTGCAGTTTACCGTAAAACATAATTAATCGTCGATGCTTCTTTATACCCGTCTAGTGTGTTAGAACTTAGAACATTATAATTTTAATCTGAATGAACTTAAAAAGTTTATCAAAAATATTACTATGATAAAATAGAAAAAGTTCTAATTTAATTAAAATTATATTTAAATAGTAATAATTATAACTATAATATTATTTTAGGATAAACTTAAATAAAAAAATTAAATCGACTTAAAAAAAAATACTAAAAAATAAGTAATAACCGATGCAAAGCAAAGCAAATCTATTTCGATACGTATAAATACATCACAAATTGATGTACTCGTATAATATTTTAACTATAATTAGAGTTCATAACTTGTCAATATTATTTACCTACTAGCATTGCCCGCGGCTCCGCTTGCGTTCAGGTGACCAAAAACCAAATTCTTAGGTTTTACATATTATTAGTATACTCTTACATTGCAGTTTTTGTATTTTTTCTCAGAAATGAGACATTTTCCCGCGGTAAAAAGTATCCTATATGTTGACCCTGATAGCCAGCTATCACCATACCAAATTTCATCAAAATGCCTCCAGTGGTTTATCTGTGATGCGGTAACAGACAGACAGACAGACAGATAGACAGACAGACAAAAAATCTAAAAACTATAGATTCGGCTTCTATATCGATAATAATGTTTATTTCAATAAGATTTTCCAAAAAATATTTAATGTACAGATTCGGCTTAGTTAAAATTTTATTATATGTATAGATTAGATATTCATATCTTAAAGCATTGTCACCTGGCACCGACTTCGAAAATATCTAATTTGGTATCTATAATAAATGAAAACCCCCGTTCAATTATTTTTTAGTAGTTTTTTTTTGAAGTAGATTTTTTTTAAATTACTTCTTTTTATTTCGTAATTTTTAGTTAAATGTATGTGTATTCCCATATAAGTAAAAACTGAAATAACTTTTTTTGTAATAAGTATTAATTACTGAAATAGAACACGAAAATTACACGTTTTTGTCCACATCAAACTACTGAACCGATTTTGATGAAATCTTTACTGTTCCCTAAGTTGAAATAAATGTAAGGAAACAACAAATTAATAATAATGATCACGATTCGATTACTAGTTTCGGAGAAATGTGTGGACATACAAACATATATAAATACACCTATAAAATGTTGTATATTTGTTTGGAAGCCCTATTAACATATGTAAATATTTTGCACTTCCAATAATATTACATTCATTACGTGTCGAAATCATTTTTTTGAAGTCGGTTAAAAAATATTAAGATCAAAACTTTCCAATTAATAATAAATAATTAAATGTAATGAATAAACCAAAGTATACAACATACATAGCGAATGAATTAATTTTTGCGTAAAATGCACACAGATATAAAGCCAAAAGATAATCGGATTAAAAATTGTTTCCAATTAGTCGATATATATTTTTCAGTATAAATATTTAAAAAAATATATTAAAACTAATGGTTTTATTTATTGGGTCAATAAACAGAGTATTATGGGTAGCATATTTAACCATAGTTCTAGTACCTAGATATGTATAACAATGTTATAATATATTATGTACATAAATCTAGCAATATTCACATTTTACTAATAAATAATTAATTAAACTTTAAAATAACTACTACTTACTAGACCCCCTTAAATAAAACTATCTTTTCGGATATTTTCGCGGACGTTACATGTGTATTCAGCCCTTTTTAACTCCCACTGCTGGGTGCGGGCCTCCCTTATACGAGGGGTATCAGGCCATAGTCCACCACGCTGGCCAAGATATAATTATATACTTTAAATAAATCTATCTTTTCGAATTTTTTCGCGGATATATTTGATATTTTGGTTTGAGAGAGATAGTCCCGTGATAATGATTGCTGTAAAGCAATCAAAACGTCGAGAACCAAAAATCAAAATAAATCCGCGAAAAAATACGTAAAGGTAGTTTTATTTAAAATGTCAAATATTCGCGTAAGGTAAATCTAAGAAAGTATTACTCGACCCTTTGTTGTTGTATTTTATTTAATTTATATGGGACCATCCTTGCTATTTAAAAAAAAGCAATTATGAAATTGAATCACGATTTGCGAAGATATCGTCACATGCACGCTCGCAGCGCACGCGCTCGCCCGTACACACACAAATAGCCAAATTGAATACCTCCTCCTTTTGAAGTCGGTCAAAAAAACGCATGCCAATGTTCCGTCCGTGAATCATTCTCATAAACTACAATATTAGGTACTTCGTCATTCGTGCATACATATATATAACAATTTTATTCTTAGGTGCTAAACGAAACGCACCGTTTCTTTGTCTTCTTCTTTACAATGGAAATGTCAAATGCGTTATATAGCCAAATTTTAATAT